GCTCTTCCAAGAGCAGCCCCAGACTGGGAACCAGTATTTGGAAGATGCTTTGCTTCGGAGTTACTTGAAAACACACCTTCCTCCCAAGGTCTGGCATGCATGTTCGTGTTTCTGTGTGTACACACTACAATTCTGGCCAGGTCACTGTTTAAGACTGAATTGAACACTTCCTTGAGCACTTTTGTGCCTTTAAGCGTTTAACTGGGGGGAATTTATCAGCATTCTTTAAAACTTGCTTTCTTTCAATAAGTGCAGGGGTGAAAAATACTGCCAGGACATAAACAGAAATAGTAAGTGGCTTAGTAGACTCTGGTGACTGGTCTGGGTGTTGCAACAAGAGGTTGTTTTGGGATCATCAGTGCGGGTGTTTGTTCGTCTGGTCATCCAGAGAATGAAATTTCAGAGAAAGGGAAAAAACTAAGGTGCTTCCAAACTCTGCTGTGCAAGTCCACCTCTCTCCCCCTGGGGAAGGGCAGCTTTTAAGGAAATTCCTTTCTGAAGGAACAGGGCGGTTTGCAGCACTCGAGAGGATGCAAAGGCCTGTTGAGGTTTGCTTGTTCTCAGCACGGGTCGTTGGCTTTTCTGGGTTGATTTTCAGACAGGGAAGGCTCTGTACAGATTGCAGGGGTGCAGAGAGGTGGGGTAAGACCCTGAGCTGTGTGTCTCGGTTCTGTGAGGTCCAGTCCTACAGGAACCCCTGGGAGGAGGCGGCTCATCTCACTGGCTGTCCTCTGCTGTCACCCCAAGGACCACAACTGTTTCCCACTTTTCAAGGACCAGGTCTCATGGAGCAGAGTGTGACCTCTCTCCATGATTTATTCCAGCAGAGGCAATACAATGACCTGTAAAGCCACTGGTAGTGGCTGAGTAGAGGGGCAGAACCTGGCTTTCAGTGGCTCTCTTCCTGCCGCTGCTTGCTCTCCAGGTCTGCAAGGCCTTGCAGACATGGGGTAGTAAGAGTGTGGTGGCAGCGTTGGGAGCTTGCTTTTGTCACAGCCATCCCGAAAGACAGGAACGAGGCCTCCCTAAGCACCACTGTGGCCTTCTTGCCAGAAGAGAAGACAGGGGAAAGGAGGGTGCCTTTGGGCAACCATGAAAATCTTGCTCCTAATCTGCACCTTTGGAAGAAGCATGATTCAGACCTCCCAAAGAATAAAAGGATCAGTGCTGTCTTTCACCAAGGCTGAGAGCTGCTCTCCACTCCGTCCCCAAAGAGACAAAAGCAGCTGCAAAATCTACTAGAGAATCAGCAGCATCTCCCTTAGTTTCTGTGCTTGGTCCCAGTGGGGCAGTGTTGCCTCATCGCTGAAAGGGAGAGCCCGGTCACTGCTGTCTGCTTCATGCAGCACCTGCCTGCCTGCAGCCTGAGAGCTGGCTCTCCATATGAACACCTTCCTCTCCAGGAGAGCAGCAACAGAGGATGCTTTGTGTGTCCCACT